TTCTATTTGAACGTGTTTACATGATTTAATGTTCAAAAAACACAAATGTGTGCACTCCTCTCAAAAAGCCCAGTCTGCTCTGATTAGTCATCTGATCATCTTCACACTATACCAAATACGTGCAGTGTACAGAGATCATAGTCCACGATGTGTGTTAATGTACGCACATACACGCAGAATGCATGTTGAATAATGGCAGGAGCAGATAAGAATATGCCCAGCGATGATGCAATGCCATTATATTAAGTTGGGAAGCTCTACATGGCTCAGGAGTTTTTTCCATATATCTCAGTCTTACTCAGTATTAACATCTGCGCTCTCGGTGTCACTGCACCGTCATTGTAGCCAGAAGAATGACTGTAACGACACTGTAGCAGCAGTTTTTATCTTTATAGACTGTTTCACTGGAATCACATTGGTAGGCAACAGCTGGAGTCCATGTTTTCTTCCTGTCAGCTGATGTCATTCATACACTGCAAAACATTCCAACTGGATATACAAAAAGCCTGTTTATACCTGCTGACAGTTGTGTTAACGTCAACCCGCACATCATGGTCCATACAAACACAAACAAGTCAAGGGTGATTGACAAGACAGAGACCTGATGAAGGTCACTCAGGCTTAAATAAAACCATATTGTGAACTTTACTGTCCATTCAAGCAATTATTTGTCAAGTAGGAAAACGACTGTGGCTTTTGTCCTGTAGGCCGACATTGTTGTTTGTTTTGTACGCTGAAGATTGCATGGTTGCAGCTGCTGTCATATTCATTACACCCTTATAAATAATTTTCCCAACCAAAGCCGTTACGTGTTAAGAGGTGCGCCAGTGCAGTAAAATTTACTGCTGCTGAGAGAGAGTGACCTCTGTACTGGAGCCCAATCTGCCCAGTTGCACACACACAGTGACAGGGCTAACTGTTAGCATCACAGTTAACGTTACGTAACGGTTATCAACAGATTTGTTTTTTTGAGTCGAGTCATTTACTGTCAGTGTGAGTTTGGGACCGTTTAATAGCTGCTGCTGTTGTGTTAGCACGTGCTAACTGGGCAGACATTAAACTAGCTGTTCACGGGGAGTAGAGTGGCTCCAGAGACAGTCCTTCAGCTCTGCGTCTGTGCAACTGCACCAACAGAAGTTTTTTAATCTAATGGAGCATCAGATGAGCAAGGACGTCAGCTGAGTAGGCAGTCATTTGACCTGGCCTTGGACACACTTGCGTTCACACATTTATGTAGCATTATTGCTGCTTTATATTTAAAAAGACATGGAAATCTCACATTTTACAATATGGGACCTTTAAAGACAATATGCAAAAAGAAGTTGCCATTATTATTATGTCATTATTTGCCAACCCTAATCTGTGATCACTGAAACGATGTAGTCAGTGTAAACACCTGCAGAGATTCCACATCATGTTTCTGACATGCCTGTTGTCTCTACAGTAACATTGGCGGGGCAACGATCAACGATGTAGCGCTGGACTTCTGGCACTCGGGTCAAAATCGAGAGGACATTGGTATGGAAGACTTGGAGCATCGGCTACGAGCTGAAACTATGGAGTCTCATGGTATGCTGCAGTGCTCGCTTTACATTTCTCAGCTGCTCACCAGATGTTCAGCTCTGTTCAGCAGTGGCTTATATGTTTACTTCTGCTCTCTGCCATTTCAACATGGACAGGAAGTGAACAAATTTTGTGTTACTGAGTGAGCTGCAAACTTCTTTTTACATGTGTGTTAGGGTTAAAGTTACTCTACTGTTGAAATTGATGAAGATAATTAGCTGAAAGCTGTGAGCATAGTGCTGCAGATTGCAGTATTGATTCTTGGCTGTATCCGTGATATAAGCAGCCCTCTTACATTAAAGTGAGTCTTTTCTATCTTATTATAAGACATTGATTTGTGGAGCTTTAACTGTGTTTGGGGATTCCTAAGCAATTTCTTTGCATGGTTCTCTGTTGTAGGTGGGTTTGCTCAGAGTGAACTGATGTCTGGCCACTTGATCGACTTCTTTGTGCCGTTCCTGCCTCTGGAGTACCGCCATGTCAAGCTCTGTGCACGGGACGCCTACGCAGCGCGAGGTCTGGAAACAGATGAAGCTACGCTGGATGAGGTTGCCAAGGCGATGCTGTATGTCCCCAAAGAGGAGCGACTGTTCTCAGCCCAGGGATGCAAGTCCATACCCCAGAGGATCAACTTCTTTCTCCCGTAGAAGGAGTCAGAGACAGACAGAGAGACCTGGAGGAGGTGTGAGATTGCTTTACCAGCCCATCTGCATACAGAGCCACAGAGGAGATGTGTCTTCTCTGCTCCGCTCTACGTACTCTCCCCCTACAGATCGTGTCTGTCCAGGTCCCTCAGAGAAGGCCAGACAGCAGGGCTGATCCGGTATGAGAGGGGAAAGCAGCACGACCCACCCTGAAGACATGAGAAGTGCCAGACGGTCATCCTGAGCAGTGTGGCTGCTCCTCTACACCTGCCCGGCCTGAATCCTCACAGTATTAAGACGAAGAATTAAACAGTTTGAGTGGTTGTGCAGTGCTAGTCATAGAGAGATACTGAGACATATTTTGTCACACTATTTATATCTGTCCACCTCGGCCAAAATCCTGCACTGTTTTTTTTTTAAGTTCATACGTCATGTGTTTGTATTTGCATGTCAGACATTGTGTTTATATCAGCACTGTTTATTTATTGACATCATTTGTGCCATATTTGAGCATCTAAATGCAACAGATTATTTTTTGTGGAGTTGTCTGAATGCACATTGGTGGTACTGTAAGGTTTTGGTCAATATTAATGGCACTAGTGTGAACAGCGGACGTACATGCTACTGTGATGCAAATGTTACTTGAAACTGTTACTGGAAACTGTGTGAGAGTACAGGTGTCCAAAGCAATGCATTTATTTGAAGGTTTTATTTTTTATGTGTAAATATTTTTAGTAACAGTGCTTTTAATAATTTCTTTTTTATTGTCCGTAATTTCATTGTTTCATATGATCCTGTTACGTGTCCTGGTGGCGTCATCTTTACGTAATATATTGCTGTTGATTTAGGGCATAGTTAAGAAATGTAATTTTATTCACTGACTTGATTTAATGCTTTCATTCACGCATTTCACATCCTCTCACACAGAGATTGGCAGTTTTAGTGATTTGAGTGCCAAAACTCAGGGTCACATAACAAGAAGAACGTGAAAAGAAATGTCAGAAACGGTTTTAAGAAAATAAACATCCACTGTAAACCAACAAAAAGTGTTTGTTTTAAATGAATGCAGTCATTGTAGGGAATTCATTTGTCATAAACTGAAGCAATTTCAGTGATGCATTAATTTTAAAAAAAAACCTTGGTTAATCCATCAAAAGAACAATAAGTAGCTACCTTTTTTTTTAAACTTTTTTTATTTAATAATTACCCTTTGTGTAGTCTTCCATGACAATAAATGGATTACATTTATATTTTAAGCTTTGGTTGGACAAAACAAGACAGTTTAAACATGTGTGTAAATTGTGTGTATTTTATGTTATTTCTGACATTCAGCATTAGCTCTGTTGAGCTGGAAATTAAATTTTATGGAACTCTAGGCAGGGGGAGACTGGAAACTTTATTAACATTGTTAAATAAAGCTCTTGTAGATGTACATTTCAGGCAAGATACAGTAGATATGTCACGCTCAATATTCAGACATTCACACCAAAAACTGATGCAGAAAATGCACACGTGTTTGACACTCAAAATTTCCTGACAGAGGACACCCAAACCTCCCATTTCACGCTTGTTCCCCTCAATGTTGAAATGGAACATGCGCCTGTGATCAGCAGAGTGTTTAATAATAAAAATTATTGGTTATTGCAGCCCTACAAAAAAGCCCCCGTGCACTCAAAAATGTGTCTTTTCTTATTGCTTCTTCAGGTGGATGTTTGAACTTCATTGTGCAGAATAATACACATGCAGAGTTTGACACTAGAAGGACTCTACATTCATCTGCTGAAGGGGGAAAGTTTCTCTTTGCTCACCTTTATATCAAAGTTTAACATTTGAATATAATTTGCAGTGTTGGGAAGGTTACTTTTGAAATGCAATATGTCACACATTACTAGTTACCCTGTTAAAATGTAATAATGTGACTATTTTAATTATTCCATCAAAGTAATATATAACTCACTACATTTGATTACTATTTAATGACTTTATTGACAGTTGTTTCAAGCCGGGCAAAAGCTGATAAATGTCCGGAAACAGGTCATGCCAACAGAAGAAATTCCTGCATGGTGAATAGATGCAAAACAACAAAATGAATGTACATTATTCTACACATCAACTTTATACCAATAT